AAACCACGTTCATATTCGCGCGATTTTTTGCGCAGCTCATCAGTGAACAACGGCTCTGTGTAGTTAATGCTGCTCAATGTGAAAGCCCGCAGGTGATGGAGATTTACCGCTGATTACAGAACCGGCTTTACTGATAAGATGCGCGTTAAATATCGCATGCGATTAATCGTGCAGCCCTACAATATACACACGTCACCTAACGCTCTGTTTTACTCTCTGAATAATATTCAGAGTTATTTCCACATGTTCAGTGCATAACATCTGTGCCACAATTCTACACTATTCTATTCTCCAGGCAAGGATGATGATGGTATGGAAATGTCAGGAAGGATAAATCCTACGGATTTATGTCATTCCATTTGCACCAAATTCCTACATTCAAAGGTCACATCAATAAGTCTCTATTTGAACCACATGCATCATTAATCATTCAAACTCACGTCTGTCATCACAGAGGACTAATGTGCTGTCTATAGATCTGTCCTGCTTTGAGGGTCACCCTTCACTTTAAAAAGTGTCATTGATTTCTCTGCTTTCACACCAAAGACCTGTGAGAATATGTGACATTCTGTTTCAGTCTGAATTTTCCTTTTCAATGTGACAAATTATTCAAATACAATTACATGTAATAAAATGATTCATGATTAAATGGAAAAAAATAATAATAAACAATCATCTGAGAAACATAAGCAATATCACATGAGCATGGTCATCTGCAGCCTTGATAATCCTAAAAACAGCACAACTGCGAGTGTTATATTGTCAATCCAGTTTTATTAAACAACAGGTTAATACTGAGTCACTTACATTTAGCTTTATCTGTTTTTGGTCCGCCAACATAACTAGTTCCAAAAAATGGCAACACACAGTAGTGGTGTTTCATTCCTGAATAAATTAGCGTTTTTGAACAAATAGGTTGAATGAATGATTCAGTGACTCACTCATAAAGACGCACTAGTTTCGTCCCTGAATGTATCAGATTGTTTGAACGAATTGGCTGAATGAATGACTCAATGATTCACTCATAAAAACAGTCACTTGTCGCCACCTACTGGTGTAACATGTAACCTACAAAACAACACTAATGGATTACAACTATTCATAAAAATTATAACATCTTTATCTGAATGACAAATTAATAATTCATACTGTCAGTTAATCAATACATAAAAAATTACCATCGTTGACTAATAAGCAAATTACACAGGTCATAGAGTGATTTATTGTAGAATAAGCGCTTCCTATAAATCATCAGCAGCACATTCATATGACAGTTGCTAAGCTTCTCCTTAGTTGTAAACATCTCCAAACAAACTAATTGGGCCACATAACTCTGCATATGGTATCCACATTACTGATATTTTATGCCTTTTGTAATCTTTAACTTTATTTTGAACTAATGCACGGTGTTTACCAATAATACATTCTGTAGAAAAGAAAATCCTTTTTGAGCAGCTGTTAACTGAAGGATGGTTTTGCACTCTGCTTATGAAATGAAAGGAGAAATGAAAGACATTGCTTATTAGGTACAGAACAACCTCTGTTAATTTCTTCCTCAAAAGAAGCATTTATAAGCAGAGCAAAAATAGTGCCTAATTATGCGTTCTTCAGCAAACTACAGAGATTTTGTCTAACCATGAAAGCATTTCTTAAGACTGCAAGCACAAAGGGATTTGTGACTAGATGTAATGCTTCTCTATTCTATATATTTCTGTTTTTAACATGCCCATATTTACATAAACGTGCAAGTGTTGTTATGTTTTTATGACCCTTTTAACCAAAGGACCGGCCTCTTTAAAGCAAACGACATAGAGCATCAAATGGTGGTTTGGGGGCGTCTGACAGAGCTTAATGTTTATCTCCCACCGTTCAGATATTTGTGTTACAGTACAGTTCATGCTGTGCTTGTTATGAATTATGAAAAAGACTGAATTATTATGTAACTTGCTTTTAAAAGGTTGAGTTTCCACCTTTGAGAATTTGAAAAAAGGTTAAATCATTACATTGGATGGCTTGATGAAAATAATTGTGATGCTATTTTTCTTTCTCCTTTTTTCAGAAGACCACTGGGGACTTTGCAATACATCAGAGGGTAAGTGTGATAGATGTTCAATGTTTTTTTTTATTAATGCAAATTAAAACCATACATTCCAATCTGATATGATTTGCTTATAAAAATAGCACATTTTCTAACAAAATATAAAACCAGATGCCTGACATAACTGTTTTTATTTATATATTTTTGTCCTCTGTTTTTCTTACTGCATTTATAAATAAAATATTGATAAAAAAAAATCTAATCCAAGCTGATGGCGGAGGAAAAAGAGAATTTGAAGGTTCAATGCAGTGGGCAGCGTTTTCTTGTCAGTCTAACAAAAGCATCACACTGCCTTGTGTTAAAAGTTCAGCAGGGTAAATCTTTATCACTGTCAAACCTTCATTGTAAAGTACTGTTTTGGTTTAGTCCTCAAACAAAAACAATGTCATGCAAATGGCACCATACAGTGTAACAAAATGGCATTTCAGTCAATTTAATAGCTGATTTTGCTTCACACAGGGAAAATTGTGGTCTCTACCTACCCAGGAGCTAAATCAATGCAAAGACATCACTCAATTGTGAAGCTCACCTCCCCTCCTTCCTAAAAATCATTTGAAATACTTCTGTATATGAGAGATGTACATAAAGACAATCAGGGGAAAATAAAAATACACCATAGACTGGCCACTCCTCATGCCAGTCACACTTAAAGTAACACCTCTCGCAAAATAAGCGTCATAAGTGGCCCACACTAAAGAAAACAATAGCAGCCTGTGTCTGATAACAGATAGAGAGGACGTGTAAATAAACCACATTGTGCATGAAATCAGTGGAGTCCAATGCTTTTTTTAAGTCCTGCAAATGCACTCAGCCTCATAAAGGATCTTTATTAGGCCCACACTGGGGCACTTTGTCAGGTTTTGGAGACACCGATGACTGTTATATCTCTGCTGGTAAAGAGCAGGGCCCAGATGAAAAATGAAATAGAAAAATTAATGGCTGTCCGCAAAGACAAATTATAGAAGCTGGTTATTTCACATAGACTAGGTTCACACGAAGTACATCTACTGTTCAAAAGTATATATATATAATGTATTATTATTATTATTATTGAAAGTCTCTTATGTATGGAAGCTTGTTGAGGCCGAAGTACCAGCGATAAAAATGATTTATGCTAGCCAGGGCAGCGGAGAGATTTCTCTAAGGAATTGGTGGAGGAATTAGCACAGGCATTGGAAGCCTGTACTGTAATGAGGAGGAATGGCATTAGATTCATACCCTTAAAAAGCGAATGGCGCAGCCGGGCCAAACAATCAGTTACTCTACCTCAACATGGGCCCTACCTCAACTCCTGCCTTGAGACTTATTTTCAACCTGGGATAAGAAGACAAAGGATGGTAGATCTGGAAAGGGAAAAAAAAGATCCCATATTTTCATTAGGCTGTTTAAGTAGTTTCACACTAGTTTAAACCAGTTATATTGGAAGACTATGAATGACAATCAATGAGAAAATTAATTAACAACAGGACATGCTGATTAATTAATCAAATTAACTGTATATATCTATTGTTAACTAAAACTATTCAAAATCGTTTTCAGTAACTAAAATTAAATGAGTTGCCTTGGCAACTAATTGAAATAAGTTTAAGTTAAATTACTAAAATTACTACAAGTAAATAAAAGAAAGATAAATAGATATATTTAAAAAAATAAAAAATAAAAACTACAAAAACCAAACACAATTATTAACAATAAAATTAAAAGTAAAATAAAAAATATTAAAAATTAAATATTAATAATACTAAAATAACACTTAATATTTGCTGAGAAAAATCCTCCAGATCATAAAAAGAAAAATTAAAGACATTGGATTACTGAAGTAGACATTATAAAAAGTGGCTGAATGATTCAGCTTTTTTTAACTAATCATTTGCGAATAATATAACGACTCGCTAATTAAGACAACGACTTGTTTATTTTCTGAATGAATGTTTTTAAGCATAATAGTTGAATAAATGATTCAATGACTCACTCATAAAGAAAGTCAGTTGTTTAGCTCATGAATTGCTTGAATAGGTGATTTAAATGACTCTCTCATAAAGTCACAGTCACTTGGTGTAACGATGTAACCTGCAGAAAGAAAACGTTCCACTGTATGTCCCCACATGCAGCAGAATGACAATAAAGCTCAACTTGACTTAACTTGACTTGACTTGTTTCTGCCACAGGGTAAAAAAAAAAAATCAGAAATCCGAGATTTAAACTCAGAATTTCAGGATATAAAAATTTTAATATTACAATGAAATTTAATTTATAAAAAAAATAAAATGTAAAAATATAAAATGTCTGAATTGTGAGATATAAACTTGCAAATGCAAAAATAACATTTAAAATTATGAGATAAATGTCAACAGAATTGCGAGATTTAAACTGAGAATTCTGAGGAAAATGTCAGAATTTCGAGATGTAAGCTCAGAATTCATTGTTTATTTCATGCAATTCTGAAAACAGTTTAAGATTCTTTGATTAATAGAAAGTTTAAAAAAAACAGCATTTATTTGAAACTTGTAACAGTGTAAAACAGTCTTTACTGTCACTTTTGATCAAATGTAATCTGTCCTTGCTGAAGAAAAGTGTTAATTTCTTTCAAAAATAAAACTTACTTCCCCAAACCTTTGAACAGCAATATGTTTACATGCGGTTTAAAAACTAGTTCGGACTACAACAATAATTTGTCTATTTAAATGCTAAAAGAATGCTTAAAAATGCTAAATGCTTAGAAAAAGAATGAGTTGTGACTCTTCATTTTCATAATAAAATGTGTGTAAACTGTATTTAGCACTAAGGACAGATACTGTATTCTGCTTTGGTGTGAATATAGCCACACACACAGCTAGACCTTCTCCCTCCAAGATGAGAATGGATGGATTCAGGGTCCAGACTTCAATTCACAGAAAGGCTTTTGTAGTTAAAAGGCCAGACCGTTATATTACAGCATGGCCTTTTTCAAAAGCATTTGGCAGAAAGTGGATTAAGTTATTGATTTGTGGAAAATGTCACAGCATAAATATTTGCGTTTTAATAGAGTACAGTGCAATCAGTGTTGACTTGTCTCAATAAGTTTTTCATTTCAGCTCTACAGCTGGAGCGAGCAGGAACTGTTGCCACAATTCATGCGCTTCTCAAATAAGGGCTTATGTGTTCAGCATTGCTGAATGATTAGCATGCAAAACGAAATGAATTGCTTTCATTGATTGAGTTTCACACTGTTATTAACAGCAATGAAGACAGACAAGAGGCCATGGAGGTGTGTCTCATCTGTTATCATCCCTATATAAGTTGTATTCAGTTCAGTGTTTCTTTGTCCGGTCTCGTCGATGTGTACGTCTGCATTACCCTGGTGTGTGTGTATGCTACTTCCCTGCTATGGATTACTTGTATGTGGATTATTAAAGAACAGTTTATTGTTATATTCGTCTTGTTCGTACTTCTCTCCCGCACCACACCCGTGACTGAAGACCGGACCTTATAAAGTAAAGCGGCGTGTTTCCCCACGTTTTGGTTTTTCGTTTTTGTCAGTTTTTTTTTGTTTATGGATGATCCTGCCGTCCTCGTCCTCCTGCTGGAGCAGGGGGATCACTCTCTTGAGGACCATACTGAAGACTTTGTGTTCCCTTGAGTTTCATACTGTTATTAACAGCAATGAAGACAGACAAGAGGCCATGGATGACTTGGCTCTTTGTGGCGGAAACCGTTGACGTTAAAGCATATATCTCGTGGGATCTCACTTAACCTTTTTGTTTCGCAGTTTAAACGTGATAAATGACTGCATTAAATGAAAGTGAAACATTTTATTATCCTTGACAGCTGTGGAGTACCTTGGCTTTCAGGCCTTTTCTTTTATGTGGAATTTGACTGTTAACTGACAATAGTTCATTGTCATTTACTGGTATTATTTGTTGCAGATTATTTTATTTATTAATTAATAGCATGAATCACCATCTCTGAAACTTACTTTACCTCAAACTTTTAAACTAGGTCATCTGTTGGAGAATGCATGAGGTAGTCCCTTAGTTTTATACACATATATACATAAGCGAATAAAATAATCTTGTCCGAAGACAAGATCATCGTGATTAGCTGTTCTGTCATAAGCGACAAGAGCGACTCGAATAATAGGATACAAACAGGCTGATAAGGTCAGAGCAGTGTGATGGCCTGCTTGTCCCTAGACAGATTTTACCTGAGAAGATTTTGATGCTTCATTTCGCAAGATTAACTTTTCTCTTCTTTATTCTTCATAACCCAAGAATGCGGCGACACATACCTGGGGTTACGCCGCAGAAACGGTGCAGTGAAGTATAGTTTGAAAGGCTGCGCGTTCGGCTGTACACATACGCTGAGCCGCTTCAGACAGCTCACCAGTAGTGCTTCAACGCACGAAAACACACACATTATGTCAAAATGCGCGGTTTTGGCGAGTTACCTTGTAAACGGAGTTATAAATGACCGTAAAGCGTTGGGAGACAATCGGATGTGTGTCAGACCCGCGTCATCAGGTTCTAAAGAGACAGCACTGATTTTAAAGTGAAACCTGCTGAAGTCTGTCATTGATGTATATCAAAGAACAAAAGAAAAAAAAGAAATCCTTGGACTGTTCTAGTCGCTGATTAACTTTTATATCTTGAATAAAGATTAATATGTATAGTTTATGCATATATAATACAGTTTATGTGAAGATTGTTTTAAAATCACTTAAATTAAAAGTTGTTATATATTAAATGTTAAAAATAATGGCTTTCAATTATACTGTAATGTTGAATGGCTATAATTAATAGGTAAAATTGAGGGAAAATGCACCAGCAGGACAAATTAAAAACATTGTAAATATGTTTAGTCATTGTAGTAGTAATAACAGCCTGTTTTTGCAAAAAGAGTTTCATGGCCAGTAAAAAAAATGTTTGGCCGGTAAATTTGATAATGTCACCGGCCATTGGCAGGTGTGGCAAAAAGTTAGTTTTAGGCCCTG